AAAAAAAGTCTTTTATGAAGACAAGGACGTACTTCAAACGTAAGGCTACTGAGAATAGCTTTCCCCTTTAGACATAAGAATTCTGATATGTTAATTAAAATCTTTTTACAAGTTAAATAGTTTGTCTAAATTTGCCTTCACCTTGCTCTACCAGAAGCAGATACCTCAAAAAAAAAAAAAAAAAAAAAAAAGTTACATTCTGATAATGACTTGGCAAGAATGTTGGTAAAACAAAGATCCTCACTGTACATTATATGGTAATATCAAACATTCAGTATTTTTAAAAAATTAAAATATTGACAACTTATTCAAGATCAATTGCTTTTAGTGCAAATATTTTACACAAATCTTTTAAACTTAAAATTCTTATTTACTTGAGTTGCTCATATTCATCAGTTGCAGTTTGATGCAGCAGATTTCTGTTCTGTTTATATGCCAGGGAAGATGTAATTTATTCTGCTGGTTTACTGATATATTTACCTTACATTTCTTTTTAAAAATATTTTTATGTTGTGTGTTTTTTTTCATCACAAATGGGTCTGATTAAATTTGTCCTCAAATGTTGCTTTTTCCTTATTATGTAATTTAAAATGCATACAAGTAAGGTTTGTACTTATAGCAAAATAGCATGCAAGGTGCATTCACTCAAATGGATGACATTAGCTAAGGAAATCATCTGAGTAACACAGAAAAGGAAGGAAAATGAGCTCTGAACTGGCACTTGCCAGGGAAGAAAAGTAAGCTGCTCCCTTTCTTCAGTGTCTTTCAGAACGAGGTGTTTGGGTACTGACTCCAATCATGGAAAATAACTGTTGTTCTTGTTGAAATATATTTTGGGAAGTTAAAATCCTTTTTCTCCATCAACATAGTTTATTATTGTGTTATGCTCTTAAGCATAAATCTACCCAGTTTCCCATTTTAGTTCCAAAATTTAGACATGTTAAGTCCCTGCTTACCCTCTGGTTCACGTCAGAATTGTCACTTGATAACAGTTTGTGGATAGAATCATATCTACCATTAATGTAATTTTCAACTTCTCAGTGCATAGTCATTGCCTTTAAAAAGAAACCTTACTGCTACCTTAACCAAAACAGAAACAAAAACAATTTTTGCTTCCCAAAGTACACACAAGCCTATAATCACAATTTACTTTGCCATATGTGAACAACAGTGACATGTCTGATACCAATCACCTAAAATTGGTATTTATTTCCTACATCTATTTTGTCCATGAAAAATAGGATTGGATCCAAAGCCTGTTCTTCGTCATCTGTAGCAGGGCAGCACTTTCTCACTGCATTGAAGAAAAACATGGCTAAAGCTAGAAGCTTGGTCCAACTTAATGGCTAAATCTGTCCTTTTCTCAGGCTAGATATACTACACACGTAGTATGGCATGGCACAAATACCATACGCAGTCTGCTTGCAAAGATTTACAATTACTCATTACACCTAGTACAGAAATATGCACGACGGCGTCAGTGCAGAAATGTGGTTTTACACCACGCTTTGATTCCTACAGAGCAAAACGCATTGAGTTGTTAGCACTGCTTCAACAGCCCTCTTATATACGCGTTACACCACCTACTGTTTTCTGCAAAGTAGAATGTATTGTGCCACTAGTGGTGTTTCAACAACATTCCTGCATAAAAACTGCAGCAAGAGCTGGCCATCTAGTGGAATAACAATTGCTGCATGCAGTGGACTCTGGTCAAGCAAACATAATGAATGAGCATACGATATTTCAGATTTTTAAGGCTGATGTGTCAATGAAATGAGAGTATGTTAGCAATAATCACCTGGAGCTTTGGAATGAGCAGAGTGTCAAGTCCTGATTACGGAAAGTGCATTGATTAATTTTAAAAGTTACACTGAACAGCCCCATAATAGTTTATAATGAAAATGAACAGAGTTTTGGTGTATCTTAGCATTATTTGATTCTCAGGGAGAGGAATAATGATCCATTTCGTGTTAATGACAGGAAGCTTAAAAACTGAGAAGAACATCTGGAGTTCAAAAATATTTGCAGTGAGCAGAATAAAATAAAAATAGTAATCATGTTCCCATCCCCTGTGTGTACCGAAGTGCTGCCGTAAATAAGAGATTTCTCTATTGTTAGTGCAGACTGAAAGAAAAGTATTTAGACATAACTGTAAAATGAAAAATGCAAACTGTGTCACATACAAATGTAGGTTCTTTTACTTGCAGGTTCATCGGCTCTCTTCCACCCTTAACAGTGATACTAAGAAAGGGTTCAACAATATTTTCATTCAAGGATTAGAAAATTAAAATATAAGCATAATTTAGTCTTATGACTAGGAAATATAAAATTACAAGCAATTCTGATTAACTGTTTAATTGAACAAATTGTTTCATGTTCAGTATTAATATTTTGCACCAGACGGATCGGGATTTTTAGTAATGAATTATAACCTTCACCATATGTAGAAGTGCAACTGTGACAAAATGATTTCTGGCAGATAACATAGATAAATCCCTATAACAGCCAGTCTTTTATAAGAAAGTTTTCATTAATCAAATCAAACTTTTAGGACATGACTCCCAGCTTCACTAAAGAGAAAGCCAGCTTTCAACTTCAAGAATCTATATGTATCACCTATTGACTTTTAAAATACAGTGTAAAATTAAACATTAACGCAGTTCTTTTGTTTTTACCCACTGCCAGCCTTGTGATCTCTACTACAAACAGAAGGCCCTTTAATCTGTATCTGAAAAGACAAGTGCCCATAAAATAGAATTTTAAATCGTATTTATACCTCCATTAACTCTTTCTAATCTCTCTTTCCATAATAAAAATCACCCTTACCAGGTTTCAAACACTAATCCAAACAAGCTGTTAACACATCCTTCAGAAAATATTCTATTTTGTTCAAATTCTCACTTTCTGTTTCCTTGGAATCTATAATACCATTGGCACATGAAGCTATGAGTTTTTCTTCTGTCTTCCCTAAAACACAATAAATGGTAATGGTTTGTTTTGCTTTCCTTTTTCATTCTATTCCTTTTCTGTTGAGATATCTCAGCAGCTTTATAGCCTGATCAATATTTAATGTTTCTCCATTGCATTACTCAATTTTCCTATTCATTTGCTACTTACCTGTTAGCAGTTAATTATGGGCAAATTCAGAACTGTGTTTGAATTAAGTATGTTGTTACCTCTAGAAGCACCTGAATATTATTGTGTCAAGATCTGTGTTTACATTCTTCTTATTATTCCTCTTACCATCATTGAATTCTTTATCCATTCCTCTATCTCCAACTATCTGCCTGAGGTTTTGTTGTTGTTGTTTTCTTAACCAGGTTTGGAAATTAAATCAGTTTAGCTTGACCTTTCCTTCACATTTCTCAGTTTAAAGCTCTTTCTTTCAGCCATAAAACCCCTGGTGTCAGAAGGCAATTTTCCTAGATAATCAGATGGAATCCATCCTTGGAAAATTCTCATTTTTACTAAATGTATTCCTCTAGATAAGTATTTCAAAAACTGCTATTAGCATTGATCTTGAGCCATTTCTGTTCACCACTATGTCAACAACGTATTCTGTATGGACTGCAAAAAAAATCTGGGTGGTCACCAAAATAGGATATAATTTTTTTAGAAGTTCTGATATTTCTATGTTAGAAATGCATTGCAAAATGAAACTGCCCTGGAAGCTTAGTACAACTCCCTGTAGAACAAGAGTATTCATTGCTGGTTACATTTGTTATCAACAAATAAAGTGTGAACTCACACGTTTCGCCTTTTTTAAACAAAATAAAAAACAACAGCAACAACACAAAAACTAAATTTCATATAACAAACACAGGACAGATGTGCTGTGATCAGTTTCAACTGATGTTAGCTTTTTGCACTTCATTGCATCCACACTCGAAGGTCAATGCCTGATCGAAGATAGCCCCAAAAATTATGCTGAAGGGCTTGATTATTTTCAATTTTGGTGGGGAAAAAAATAATAATGTGAGGGTGAATTCTATTTCTTGCATTTTAAGGAATTACTCCTAAAGAGAAAATTATACATTTTTGTTTCAACCAGCAAATCACAAAGCAGAGCACAACGTGTAGAAAGAGAGAGCATGAGAGCCATAATGGCTACCACCTTCTGAAAGAAAAAGAGGATGGAATAGCTATGTGCTACCAAAAGCCAAAGAAATTATTGGAGCCTCAACAGAGCTGAAAGCAAAGTACCCCTGGCAGTTCTGGAACACTGAATCTAAACTAGATTTCTTCAAAACTGATGGAGAAATGTGCTAAATTCAGGAGTCACTGGACTAATCCCATGATGCTCAGAAGAATAATTTCCCTAAAAGCTCATTCATTTCAGATTTACTCTACTGTCCTTCCACTACTTTCAATGAAGCCATTTTCGATCAGCAATTCACAATAACCACTTATGTTAATACAGATTTGACTAGCAAGCTTTTGGGATCTCTCAGTTTCTAAGCAGAACTAAAACACATTTTCTTTCCTTAGGCATCCTTTCAAATCTAATTTATATCTGACAAATGAGACAAGAAATCAATAGTATGTAGTATATACTGTATAATGACCTGGAAAGTTCTTAAAATAGTGAAGCTGGCTTTAGAATAGATATTCAGTATTCTATATACAATTATTTGGCACTGTTACAATTGGCCAAATTCCACTGAAAACACAATTCTGTAAAAAAGGGGCAAACCAAATGGGGTGAATCTGGATGTTCATGCTATTTTGAAGTTGCTTCTAATATTGAAGTTGTATACAAATCAGGTTTTATTATGATTTTTCCCATGACATTTAGGAAAACACAAACAGGAAAATATTGAAGGTTGGCATTGTTTAAGTTCTAGAAATGCAAAGACTATATTCTGTACATATATACAATATATGTCATATACATACATATATACAATGTGTGTCATGCATTATAACATCCATGCCATTAAGGAGATACTAGCATGAAACAACACTGAGTTTTTCAGATTTTAATAGGCAAATTTTCTTACCTCTGCTTTGGCATACGGATGAGTGGCTGTTTATGACATCTCTTACTAAGGCCAAAGAGCTTGTGAACAATCTTCTGTGCCTTGAGAAATAGTTGCTTCATGCTGTTTTCTAGTTGCTCATAGCGACGTTGAAAATTAGAATCCATTGTCCACAAATGCATTACAGTAGATGTGTTCAGAAAATAATTCATGGGCAGCCTTTTCATAAATAATTTGAATTCATCTGGAAAAAAAAGACAACATTTATAAGGTTTTAATTATGTATTTGTAGATATTTTTAGAGTAAAAATGAACTTATGCTTTGGTTATTCTTGAAATTCTAATATATTCAAATGATCTTTTGCAATTTTAGAACGGAAATTTTCAAAGTGGAAAGTTAACCATATTTTTTGTGATAATATTAGTTTAAAAACAGAAAAAGTAATTAAAGCCATAAATATTAAACTGATCTTAGAAGACAATTCAAGCACTGTCATTGTTTCTCAACCTGGAGAACATAAAGATTAAATAAGAATCAAAGCTACTCACCTTCAAATCTAGGGCGTGAAAGTAAAAGCACATTTAAAGATCAGTATACTTTGACCCAGATGGAGAAGATGGAAAATGATCTTAAATCTTCCAAAGCTTAGGAAATTCAAGTAAATATGGTGTCACAGGCCTACTCTTTTTTAGACTACAATAAGCCATTTTAAGTTAGACTTTCAAAAGAAAGAGTTCTTAAGCCACATATTAACTGTGAATTCACACAGCGAATATCCCTCACTTTTTGATTTGTTCTGCTAGCTTAGTCCATGTAGGATATATAGATTGAATCTCATTAACAGAATCTTATTAATCAGTGAGTCTATTTTCATGAGCAGGATAATTTACAAGCTGAATTATAAGTTTTGAATCTTAATAAACTTCATCTAAAAAGGGCTCTAATTGGGAGCATCGGGGAATGAGGTGAAGGGGAGAGGAAGAGGAAATAAATACCACTCTTGCATATACATATATTCTGTTCTTTCTTGTTTCCACATTCCAATACTTTAATTCTGTCTGCCCTCCTGCTGCTTTTTACTGCATAAAAGTCACTTATCCTATTGCTTTCACTCTTCCAGTTGCACCTTTTGGGTAGTATATTGTGAATGCAATGATCCAACGGGCTGAAGCAGCCTCCTGCTTAGAACTAGAATTGCTCATAATATTTAACACTGCTGTAAGTTTAGGTTTCTTTGGGGAGAGGGTTGATTAGGGAAAATGTCTGCTAGTATGAAAGAATATTCTACTACAATCAAATCAAGAGGTATGCTTGCTTGGTTTAGTTTAGTCTCTTTTTTCTATGGCAGAATATTTTAATACGGAAAAAAAAAAAAAAAAAAAAAAAAGTATATATATATATATATATGTATTTTAACAGGGTAATAAGAAATTTCTTTCCTAAATGAGCTAGTCCAGCCAACCTCCATATTCAGTGGGGCATGGGGTCAGGATGAAATAAAACAGATATTTTCTGGCATAGAATATTCTGTGACGGTTTACCATTCACTGGAAGATAAATAGCATTGAAAGACCTTCTGGAAGAAACAAAATGAAAGGGAAGGGGCAAAGAGGATGATTTAATTTTTAATAAAGTGGTTTTAATGATTCATCTGGAATCTCTTTGGTAATGCGTTATTCATTTTCTTGCCATGCCTTCCTCTTTGGATATTAGCCTTATGCTATTCTCTTCTTGAGATCAGTACCACTGCCCCTCTCCTATCTCTGGGAGAAAAGTAAGGGAAATTAAGCTTTTTTTGCTTCTTTCATGAAGTATTTGGTGCCTAACTCAATCATTGTGGGTTTTTTTTTCTCCTCCCTAATTTTATCCCATGTCCAAAAAGACTAAGCATCTAACCCCAGGTTTTGGTTGTTTTTTCTTTTTGTTTTTGCTTCTGAAAAAAATTAAATTCAATAGAAGTATTTTGTAAATTTTACTATACCAGATGAGCAGCGTTTTGTCTTTTGGTGCAGTTCTAGGAAAACAATTCCCAAGTAAGAAAGAGAAAATTACACCTTAATCTCCCTGCAAAGCACATTCCCAAACTTCCTTTTCCTTCAAGGCTTGCACAGCTACTGTGAGAAGGGATCAAGCCTGACTTGTCTAAAGGAGGTCCACTGGCTTGGTAAAGCCTTCCAACCCTGAAGAGTGCATTTTCAAATTTATTTACTGGTGTTAAAAATAATAATTAAAAAAAAAAAAAGAAAGATAAATAGGGGTAAGTGAAGTGTTTCAAAGTACATCCTTTGGCAAAACTCAGATCTGCAGGTTGTATAAATCATCCAAGCTTTGCTGACTTCAGAAGAGTGTACTAATGCACGCAGGGAGGATCAGATCCAAAAGTTGCATTCCTGAATACCTGTTTTAATTGCGAACTTTTACGTTCTCTTCTGTTCTTCAGAGACACTGGTATATTTATTTACTCAAACTCGGGTTCATGATGCCAAAAAAATATATACATCCCAGAGGAGAGAATGTACTCAGAATGTGCCTTTTCAATTTTCATATTTGTGTGATAACTTAAGAACCATTGTCAATTTGTTGTCCTTTGCAGGCTTTACAGCCTAACAACTAATCAGATGCAGTGTTCAGACATGATAAGGAGGGTTTACAGTCTTTAACTTGCAATGCAAATGCATTTCCAATAAGAAAGTGCTCCTTTTTTCCCTGTAATAAACATCATCCTTGACTATCCCTGTGTCTTGAATGATCATGCTAATGAGCACCACACTGCAGGTAAAAGAGAGACAGAGATAAAATGAGCATGGTTACATAGTGCTTTCTGAAAAAAATAAAAAGAAGGAAAAAAAAAAAAAAAGGAAAGGAAAGATAATGCGCTCATATCTTAAACAGACACATTTCATGATCTGTGAAACTACAACATGAACTCCTACCACTGAGAGATGATTAAACTATTACACTCTAATCAACACATTATACCAGCCATTCGTGAAGATTAACAGCTAGTACTACAGTGCTGGGAGACATAGAAAGTGATGATATTAAAACATGATACTTGATACAACATATGATGAGATTTCAGTACTTTCTAATTTATTTTTTCATTGGTAGATATCAAGTGCATATGTAATACAATTTTTCTTACTACTCACTTCAAATACTGAGAAAAATATAATATACAGTGATTGATCAAACAAGTTTACTTAACTTTCTATTTATAGATGGTCACGTTTATTTTTCACCTTCCCCTTCTGCAGGCTTTATCTTCCATGTGTTAGTAGTGAGTAGATTGAAATGGCATACCATATTTCAGCAGCAAAGAATAAATGTAAAATATCACAATGGAAGTAAACATTACTGCTAGAGTCAGATGCATATCAGACATATTTAGGCTGTAATAAATACCTAGAACTACTTAGCTTGTAACTTGGATGCTCAGTGTTGTTCAGTATAGGAACAGGGCACAATGCTGAATACACTGATAAGTATTCTGCAGACAGAGTCAGCAAAGACCAGAAAAATGCAATGAGTCTCATCAAAAGATCTGACAATACACTGTAACAAGGAAAAAAAAAGGTGCCTGCTCTCTGTGTTGGAGGAGAGCAGGACCCTTGAGTCTCTTGCTCTAAATATTTTGCATATCCCTGATATTTTGAATTACAAAACCTATACAAGACCATTCATGCATACAAGACCATAGCACACTTCTATTTTTGCTTCAACTGAAGCCAAGTGGTTTTTTGGATCTATTCCAGAATATCAAAATGTTCTGTGCAAGTGTGTTTCTTAAGATCCTTTTTGGAGTATCTTTGGAAGCATCCTTGAAGTCAATGCAATTTTCCCAGCTGGGGAATCCAAAACACTGGGTTAATAGCGGTAACATAAGCAAACATCTGACTGTGCAATGTAAAGCTGCCATAACATGTCACATAATATCAACGCACTTTCTTTTCCCGTTCTTCTGTTGCATAAATGGAACAAATCCAATTATTGTTCCTAATTTTTTTCTTTTAAATAAGAGCTACTGTTTACCCTATCGATACAAAAGTGATTCTCTCTAATCCATATGGGATTAGAAACACAACAATTTTCTCCTCACAGCCCAAGGCACACTCTGTGTAAAGTCTGGGAACGATCTTCGCTTCTGCTATGAGCATAGCACTCATAGGAGGGTGCAAAACTATAGCTCATTCCAACTTCTTATGGAGACCTGCTTGCAGGCCTCCTTACTACCCTGGTATCTCCCTGGTTCAGGAATGCTCCTTGTGCAGCATGCCTTGCTGTGCTCCTCCTCTGGTGCAACGTCAGGCCATTTCCTCTTGTCCTATTGCCTTCTAGTTGGGAGATGAGAACGACCCCTGCCTCGCTACATTTCAGGTAGTTACAGAGAGCAATGAGGTCTCCTCTGAGCCTCTTTTTCTCTAGTCTAAATAATCCCAGTTCCCTCAGCCGCTTCCCATTGGACTTGTGCTCCAGAGCCTTCAAAACTTTGTTGCCCTTCTCTGGACGTACTCCAGGGCTTCAATGTCTGTCCTGTAGAGAGGGGCTCAAAACTGAACACAGCATTTGAGGTGAGGCCTCACCAGTGCCAGGTACAGAGGGATGTTCACTTCCCTAGTCCTGATGACCACGCTCTCTCTGATATAGGATGGGATGGTGTTGGCATTCTTGACCACTTGAGCACACTGATGACTCATATTCAACACATATTCTCAGGACCATTGCTGCCAGTTGGCTTTTCAGTCAAATTACAACATAAAGTTTCAGAAAATATATATTCCTGTTTAATTGTTGATTGTATAGTCTAATCCAATCTTAAATGGTCTTTTTTCTTCTAAATAAGCATTCAAATGTGCAAAAAACAAATACACTATTGAAGAAAAGCAGTCTGAAAATACCTGAAAAATTGTTTTGTCTGGCCAGTTTAAGAATTCCTTATTCAGTGGCATACTACTTGAGATGGGCCTATGGATAAAAATTTCAACTGTAGCATTTTTTCCATTTATCAGAGCCCAGGAAAAGACTATCTGTAGGAGAAAACCACTTTGTATATGATATCATTATGTCAAAATTTACCACTAGATAGCAATTGAAATGGGCTATTTTATAATTTCTCCAAATGACACCTTAATGATACATTTTCTTCCTTATTTATCCAAGAATAATAATACAAAAGTCTTTGACAATCTTTATAGCGAATAAAATGTTGTGTGTTCATTAGCTTGATTGACAGCATTTCCAAC